GTGGTTCTCAAATTGTGGCTCTCGCTTTAGCGCCGCGCACATTGGTTTGAGCCTCACGGATTGAGGGCGGGTCGTTTTCAAAATGTGGCTCTCGCCGTAGCGCAGCCCACATTCGTATTGAACATTTGCAAGAGCTTCACGGATTGAGGACGGGTGGTTTTCAAATTGCGGCTCTCGCTTCAGCGCCGCGCACATTCGTTTCAAACATTTGCAAGAGCTTCACGGATTGAGGGCGAGTCGTTTTCAATATGTGGCTCTCGCCTTAGCGTGGAACACAATCGTTTCAAACAAATTGGAAAAGTTTCACGGATTGAAGGCGTGTTGTTTGCAAAATGCGGTTTTCGCCGTAGCGCTGCGCACATTCCACAATTTCCCTACCTAGGCTCTGCCTAGAACGGTTCTTACTCTCTGGGCTTAAAGGGGCCGGGCAGTGGAAAGCGCCCCTGGCGGTTCCCCCAGCATCCGCCCCGCGGTTCCCCCACTTACGTCCCCTTAGCTTAGCGTTGCTTATCTCATCTTAGCTTAGCTTAGTTGGTTCCCTACCTAGGCTCTGCCTAGAACGGTTCTTACTCTCTGGGCTTAAAGGGGCCGGGCAGTGGAAAGCGCCCCTGGCGGTTCCCCCAGTATCCGCCCCGCGGTTCCCCCACTTACGCCCCCTTAGCTTAGCGTTGCGTATCTCATCTTAGCTTAGCTTATTTCATCTTAGCTTAGCTTAGCTTCATCTTAGCTCAGGTTAATCTTAGCTTAGCTTACCTTCATCTTAGCTTCGCTGAGTTGTAGCATAGCAGAGCACAACATAGCATAGCATAGCGTAGCAAAGCATAGCGCAGCATAGCATATCATAGCATAGACCAGCATAGCATAGCATAGCGCAGCATAGCATAGCATAGCATAGCATAGCATAGCATAGCATAGCGCAGCACGGCACAGCACAGCATAGCACAGCGCAGCATAGCAGAGCAGAGCAGAGCAGAGCATAGCATAGCATAGCGCAGCTTAGCATAGCATAGCATAGCATAGATTAGCATAGCACAGCGCAGCATGAGATAGCATAGCTTAGCATATCATAGTATAGCATAGCGCAGCATAGCATAGCATAGCATAGCGCAGCATAGCATAGCATAGCATAGCATATCATCGCATAGCAACTAATGCTGTTTTCCTATGGGTTCCAACTTATAGGTAGGGTCGCACTAAGGTAATTTCATTACAAGAGTTTCACGGTATTCCATCATCAACGTACAATACATAATGTGCTGGGCTGATTCAAGATTATGCAGGTGCAACATTTACGTCGATTCTCTGTGTTGAAATCCTAGAAATGGCGTTCTGGCACGATTCAGCATCGTCAAGACGCAACAGTCAAGTTGATCCGCGGCGTTGGAATCCCGACAACAATGTTTTGGAATGCTTCAGGGTCTTCAAACGGGTGTCTTCCGAAGAGGCACTTCCACCAATGGAGATCAACCGTTGTATGGGGCCTATGAAGAGGGAGCTTGGAGGTATGGTTTACTCCAACATCGTTCATGACTCTTGGTTTTACACTGGTTCTCCTCCTCCTCCGCCTCCTCCTCCCAGTCGTTCTGCGCTCAAGGGAGCATTGCAAGCACGCACTTCAGAGCAAGCACGCACTTCAGAGCGGCTCGCGCTTGCGAGCCAATCTGGGACCTCACGACCGCCAACCTGCGACAGCGTCGCATGCCGGCGGCCGCGGCTCGGCGCCCGCTCGCAGCGCCAAGTGGCACGTGAGCGGCGGCAGCCCGATGCCGAGGCGCGGGCCCACCCCGCCATGGCACGCGGAGGGGCGGCGGCGGCGGCGCTTGGGGCGGCGGCGGCGGCGGCGGCGGCCGGCAGCGGCTGGTCGGCGAGTTGCTACCCAAGCCTCGCTTCCCGCTGCGGGGATGCCCATGCGTGGAGGCGCACAGCTGGGCGAACCGCACCGCCTGCCGCGTCCGCGGTGGGGCAGCGCCGGCGGCGGTCCGCCAGCGCGCGCAGCAGGCAGTCCCCGAGGCCCGCGCACCTGGAGCCGGGGCCACGGCGGCTGCCAGGCCCACGGCCTCGGAGACCAGTGCAAAGAACAATGAGGAAAAGGTCGCGGCAGACCACGTCGCGTCGGCGGCTGCTCCGTTTGCTGGACCAGCGGCCCGCGGCATCGCGCTCTCGGACGAGCAGCGCGCCGCCCAGTCCGAGGAGAAGCCACTCCTGAGCCCAAGAAGCCTGCGACTCACCGTCAGTCGGTGCAGCGGGCGTTTTGGAAAGAAAAGCGGGCCTCCGAAAAAGCTCGACCGCAGCCTTCAGAAACGCTGGGGCGCTGAGGAGGCGCTGGAGCGGCTGATGCGGCGCTGTCCGAGGCCGTGTGCGCCGAGGAGGCGGCCCAGCCAAGCCAAATCTGGAGTCGGCGCGCGTGGCCGAGCAGGTGGGACTGCCCCTGGGCAGCGCGGTCCCAGGCGCGGACGTCGCCAAACTCGCCCTCGCCCAGCCGGCCGTCAAAGCCTTGGGTTGGCTGGAGGTTCCCCCCGAGCTCCTGGGGGCCGCATGGGGGTCTGGTCGGCCTCCTCGGCGCGCAGCTCGAGGCCGCGGCTGCTACGGGTGCTGCCGATGCTGCTGCCGCTGGCGACGATGGCGCAGACGACGACGACGACGACGACGACGACGACGACGACGACGACGACGACGACGACGACGACGACGACGACGACGACGACGACCTCATGGGCGACGATATCGCCAGCCTCGCCGAGGCATTCTCCAACCTCGACGCCGCCAAGCGCAAGCAGATGGAGGAACTGCCCGGGGCGCCCTTGCACGAGCGGGCCCGCTCCCGGACCCCCCGGGAGCGGGCCCTGGCGCGGGCGGGGCGAGCGAGCCCCGCACGAGGGCGAGGAGAGAAGGGCCCGTGGCCCCGCCCCCACCGCCGCGGGCGGCCGCCTGCAGTGGCAACGCATGGAGCCCAGAGCGGGAGCTACTCGAGTGGCTCTAGCACGACAAGGGCGCCGCACCCGACGCCGCGTGCTCTGGGAGCACCAGCAGCGCGAGCGAGCCCTCCTGGGGCGCCGCGCGCCAGGGCCTGGAAGGCGGGCCTCTGCACGCGCGCGGTGGAGGCCCCCTCGCTGGGCGACGGGCCGCTGGACACTTCGGCGGGCGCTGCCTCGCTGGCTTCGGCTCGCTGGGGACCGCGCGCGGTCGAATGGAGGTTCGGCGAGGGCGCGCACAGGATCGCCTCGCAGCAGTTCGAGCGGCACGGCGTCTCCCTGGCCGTGGGCGCGGTCTCCCTGGTCGACGGCATCGGCCTCGCGCAGCCCAATCTGGCCATCCTCGGGGAGCTGGGAGAAGCGCTGGCCGCCCAGCAGAGGCCATCCTTGCTCGGTGGCCACTGGGATGT